AAAAAAAAAAAAAAAAAAAAAAAAAAAAAAAAAGCCTCCGGAATTGCAGGTCTGCCGCTGGCACTGATGCAAGTCTACATTGAAAGGCTTTAAAAAAAATTAATTTTTAAAAGAAGGGCATGATTTATAAATATCACACAAATTCCGCGTTCTTTTACACCAGATATACAGAAAGATCGGGTTTAGGAATTTTTGTTTTGTTTTTTTTGGATGGACCAATTCCAGGAGTTTCAAGCTTTAATCATTAACTACTGAGAACTTAAAAATGCATTTTCCTGAAGGCACGGGTCATTATAATCTGGTGCCCCAATGAAGTTTTTGCCCCTCCCCCCTTTCCTCTGACAATTATCTTGCTTGAACTGTAAATGAAAGGTATTGATTCCCACTGTGAGGGTCTCAACCCCTTGAGCCAGGCTTGCTGGCTGAGTGTTCTTTTGGGAGAAGGACTGAAGTCACCTATTAGATTTGGGAAGGGACAGGACGCTCACTGGGGGCGCTTGTCCTTCCAGCCATCAAGTTACCACCGACGCTCTGCAGTTTTCATAGTGTGCAGCCTAGGTGGGGTTCCTGGGAGGCTCTCTGGTATGAGTGTGTGCGCGGGTGCAAAAACTGCGAGCTAATTCTATAGAGCATTCAGTTCCGAGGATTTCACTCCCCCATAAGAGTACTTGTGACTCAGCATGGAGGCTACCGACCGGAGGGCTGGTAACCATCGCCTTTCATTTCTGCACACACATGCCAGCTGGGCCACCCTGAGCCCAATAGTCTGCACAGTCCAGGTGGGGGACTCTGTTTTTCCCCCCTTTGCTTGCACAAAAAATAAAATACAAAAGAAAAAAAAAGTGCCAGTTTGGGCCACCAGGCTGTTGGAAGAAGTTGCCTTTTGAGTGGACCCACCTGACAACACTTAAAGTGGGTCATAAAAAACAAAGTCCCTCGGTGATTTTTCTCTCTCAAGCTTTCATGCCAGATGTTGACCGCAATCTAAACTATCTGTTTTAGGTTTGGGGGCTGTGGATGAGTTCAGAGGCGAGCAGGATTCAGACCTGGGATGGGATGGCCCAGCATTTTGTCCCTTTGCTTCCCCAAAGCCTCAGCTCCAAGCTGAACCTGTTAGTACAAAAAAAAAAAAAAAAAAAAAGG